CTTGATAGGCATTATATCTAATGATGAAAACCTGCAAGTGTTAGCGTTAAAGAAAGGATCCAGACAAGAATGTTTACTGTGGAACTGTGATTTAATATTATGTCAGAGGTCCCAGCCAATTAAGTTAAAAAGAGAAATAAACGAGATGAATTACAAGAGAAGAGAGAACATGGATATTATTAGCAGATGATGTGATTCCATACCTGCTTCCTGTTGTTGCTGATGATGATGTTAGGGGCTATCGAGTTGAGTAAGACTCATTAGTGATAGGGAGCTTTGTTGGCCTAGTGACAAGAAGCTGTGCTGCAATCCCATAAGTACATAGTTCAAATCCACCAGATGCTCTGCTGGAAAAGGAGGGGCAGTCTTCCTTTTGTGCCAGTCGGATCCAATTCAATGCCATACAACAACAACAAAGAAAAAGAATTTTAAAAGACTCATAATGCCCTATGAACAAAAGATCTGAACCCTGCTCTATCCTGCACCATTCTTCTACTTCCTGACACACAAGAGCCCATTGAAACAGTCACTGTTTCAGTCTGTCTGGCTGAGAGTTTTCCTCTCCTTCTTTGACCCTCCACCCTTCCTAGTATCATGTCCTTCTCCAAGGAATAGTTGCTCATAGACATGCCCAAAGTATGTGAGGTGAAGCTTCATCATTTTTGTCTCCAAAGAGCACTTTGGCTGCATCCTCTCCAAGACTTAGCTATTTGTTCTCTTGACTGTCCATGGTATTCAGTGCCCCTCAAAGGCAACTCAAAGGCACCACTTCCTCCTCCATCTTCCCTATTCATTATCTAGTTCTCAGATGCATAGCAAATGATTGGAAAGACCATGACTTGAATCAGATGCGTCTTAGTCTTCACACCAACATCACTACTCCTCAGTAATTTGGAGAGGTTCTTAACTTCTGATTTTCCAAGTCCAGTATTTCCTTATTTCCTGACTGCTTATACCAACGGTGTTAATTGTGGATCCAAGCAAAACAAAGCTATTGACAGTTTCAATCTTCTCTCCAGCCATCATGATGCTATCTATTATCCAGTGGTAAGAATCTTTGTATTTTTTATATTGAGACACAATCCATACCGAAGGCTACATTCCTTGATCTGCAACAGTGCTTCAAGTCTTCCTCATTTTCAGCAAGCAAGGTTATGTCATCTATGTAATGTAGGTTATTGATGAGTCTCCGTCCAATCCTGACACCAGACTCCTCTTCATAGAGTCCAGCATCTTGTATAATTTGCCTAACATACAGAGTGAACAGGTATGGAGAGAGAATACATTCCTGACACATTCCTTTCTCAATTTTAAATCTGACTAGAAAGCAGGATGGGTCATCTTTTTCCAAAATAATAGACCATTTTTTAAAAAAAAATTAAAAAACAACAGGCTTTGAGAAACTTACGAACACTAAAGAAAGAGGATAGTCAGAGTAGCATAGTGGTAGAGTCCGGATTGGAGGTCAGCTGAAATGAGTAAAGACCATAATAAAAATCATTTAATAATTGGAACATAGAATGTATGTAGCTTGAATGTTGAAGACTGTAAATTGTTAAAAGTGAAATAGAATGTGTTGATAGCCACATATTAGGCATTAGTGAGATGAGAAGCACCAGCTTTGGCCACTTTGAATCAGATAATCACATGGTAAACTATGCAGCAAATGAAAAACAGAGAAAGAATGGTGTTGCATTCATAGTAAAAAAAAGTCATTTTCAAATTCTGTCCTGAAAAAGAATGTTGAGTGATAGAATAATATCCATGCACATACAGGGAAGACTCATTAACATGATTAGTATTCAATTATATTCTCCTACATCTAGAGCCGAAGAGGAAGAAATTGAGAATTTTTAGTAAATCTTGCTTGCTATTAGATCAGCAGAAATTTAAATAAAATGGGAAAAAATTAGATAGTAAAGCACTAAAATGCTGAGAGAAGTACTAGATAACTGTGAAGAAAGATTTCAGCTCAATGGAATACTATATATCCATGAAGAAAGCAGATATAAACTACAAACAACATGCATGAATGAATCTTATAGTCATGATGTTGAACAAGCAAGATACAAAAGAGTGTATATTGTATGGTTCCATTAATAGAAAATTTATTAACAAAAAAAATCTATATTTAGAAATATGTTTTAAATAGGTCATTACATATTTTTATTATAAATAATTATATAGGTTAACATGGATAAATAAATGTTGTAAAACCATAAAACAAAAGAGTGGTTATTACAAAAGTCAGCATGGTATTTACCACTGGTGGTGGAAGTATGAGATTGTGATTATGAAAGGACACATGGACGGCTTCTAGGTATTGGCAGTTTTCTCATTTTTGACTGAAGTGCTGATTACATAAATGTTTCCTTTAAGTTTACTAGGTGGTTTAAATGCTTTATCTCCTTTTCAGTGAGTGACTTTATATTGCAGTTTAAAATAAAACACAAAAAACAACAGAACACACCTCAAAGGATCGGGAGAAGATGGATAAGTGGAACAGTATATAGAATCTAGGCCAAAATGAGGGAATTTGTTATATGAGAAATTATTTTGTACCAAAGAGGAAAAAGATGTATTACCTGATAATTGATTACAAAATGGTTAGATTTTCTAGACTGGGAAAAAAGTATATATTCCTAGCTCATTTCTTACATAGTCTCCTCTTCAATATATATTAATCATCTAAATTAAAAAATTAAACCATATTCCAGAAAGAAATATATTGAGGTCTACAATGCCTAATCACAACCAACCTATAACTGATCCTCCCTGTGGGTATTCAGAGGTATTAAATCGCCAAGGAGGAGATTGCCCATCTTTCTCCCATGGAGCAGCTGGTGGATTTGCACTGTGTGCCTTTGAAAATGCAGCTTCTTACCACTAGACCACCAGAGCTCTCCGAGCAAGACACTATATACCAAAAATTAAATCAGACTGACTGCTGTCAAGTTGATTCCTGTACATCAAGACTTTCCATTGTTTTTTCAAGATTTGTAAATCTCAGGGAGATCAGACCACCAGATCTTTCTCCTGTGAAACATACTTGGACCGCTGACCTTTTTGTTCACAGCTCAATACATAACTTAGTATCCAGGACCCTCAACACTGCTAGCAGTATACAGATACCACAAAAGAAAAGATTGACAGATTTAACTATATAAAAATGAAAAACTTCTGTGCAATGAAAAAATAAAGAATTAAAAATAGAAGACAGACTAAAAAACCTTTGCAAAACCTCTTATACTAAGTTTTATTTTCCATAATACATGAAGAGCTCATGAATTTAAATAAGGCTGAATTTGGACAATTAATACATACTAGAAGAAATCTAAGAAGCTGGAAAATATTCTCAGCCTTTTCAAGAAGCATACATTTAAAAAAATTGATGATATATTAGTGAAAATTCAGGATACTTTTGTGCGAGTATAAATTGATAACGCTTCTTTCCTGGGAAAACAGTTTGTCTTTTAAATGACAATTTTACTTTATAGTTGTATTTCTAAAAAATTTGCCCTTGGGAGAAATTTGCAAAGATCCATGTACAATGACATGTCTTATATTAGGTGCTGTCATGTTGACTACAACTCAGCAACCCAGTGAACAACAGATCTCGAATTTACCTTGTCATGCACCAGCCTCATCATTTCTGAAATGCTTGAATCCACTGTGTAAATCTATATATTTGAGGGTGGGAAAAATTCACACCATCCTGTGTGCAACTGGAGTTGCTAATTTGATTATCATCTTGTGTAAATGTCAAAACAGTTAATTTTTTAAAAGGTATTTTTCCTGTGACTTATTGTCATACTTTTATGTAAAAAGCATAAAAAAAGTGAAAATTTGTGTGTATATAAGTGGTGCTGGTGGTTTTGTGCCATCCAGTTGACTATGACTCAGAGTGACCCTATCAACAATGGTTCAGAAACTTGTCCACTCCTGGGCCATCCTTACCGCCTCTGACATACATTGCCACAGTCATTGTTTATTTCAGGAGGTAAAAAGTGAAAGAAATATTTTATCAATTACTCTTGTCTGAATTTCACACAGTATACATACTATCTAAATTTTTTTTTCTAAAGAAAAATACCCTTTTTTTCTTTTTTGGGCTTTTGAAATGACATTCTCATTTTGTGAAATTAACAGCCTTAATCTGAGCATAAAATTATTTAATATTTGAGGTAGAACCTTTTCCACAGTTTTTTGAGTTTCAGGAATTACTTTAGTGTTTAGCAGAAGCATATCAAATGTTACAATATTTTTTAATTTTTGGAGGCTGATTGGGAGCATAATATAGACTGTTAAGACATTGAGATTGTTAACAGCTTTAGTTTGCTTAGCTCCATAATCAACACTGTTGGTACCAGCAGTCAGGAAATCAAAAGACTAATTGCAAAGTTTGTTGTCAAGGACGTCTTCAGTGTACTGAAAAGCAATGATATCACTCTGGAGACTAAGGTATGTCTTATCCAGGCCATAGTCTTTGCAATTATGCGTCATAAAGCGGGATAATGACTAGGGATGATAGAAGGAAAATTCTGTGGTGCTGGAGAAGAGTATTGAATATACAGTGGACTGCTAGGAGAACAAACTGGTTTGTCCTGGAGAGGGTGAAAACAGGGTGCTCCTTGGCGGCAAGGATTCTGAAGCTTTGTCTGACATATGTTCCAGGAGGGACCAGTCCTTGGAGAGGGAAGTCATGCTTGCAGGGTTGAGAGGTAGCATAAGAGTGGAAGACCCTCAATCAGATGGATTGACTCAGATTGGGCTGATTGTGGGGTGGGGTTTAGTTGTGTCAGAGACAATAAGATTAGCTCAGGTTGGAGTGAAGTTCAGAGCTATAGTTTGTAGGGTTGCTATGAGTTGGAAGTGACTTGAAAGCAGATAACAACATAGCAGTATTGGTTTTTTACCTTTTCCTTTTTAAATTTCCATAAATTTGAAATTTTGAAATGGTTCCTCAGCCTATCTAATTTGTAGTTTTACTTTTTGTCCAGGCCCATCAAACTACAGTGAAGAAAATGAATCGTGGAGAAGAAAGGAGGAAAATGTTTGAGGTATAAAGACATGTGTCTGCTTATTTTAAAGCATTGGAAAATAATTATATTTGAAAAATCAAAACCGACAAGCAAAAAAAAAAAATCACCAAAATCTTCTAGTATAAGACCTCCAAACCTTTCCTCCTTAGTTCTTTCAACCAAATTATCTCTAAACTTTTTAAAATGTACCTGAACATACCTCTGCTATTGGTGTACTGAATTTTTTGATAAAGCTAAGAAAAGTAGGAATTATTATTATTTTTTTTTTTCTTTAAGGAAGCACCAAGAAAAAGAAAATTGGAATGTATTGAAAAGGAAAAGAAACATAAGGATCAGGTAGGGGGTTTTTTGTTGTTGTTGTTACATTTCCTTTGTTAAATTTTAGATTGTCAAAAGATTTTATTTTTAAAATTGTTACAGAGTAGCTTAATGAAGGCTGAGCAGATGAAAAGGCAAGAAAAAGAAAGGGTAAGAGGATAATCTGGCTTTTCATAGTTTACTTTTCTTCTTTCTCACACCCACATATCTTTATATATATAAACATGCATATATATAATTTTATATATTTCACTGTTATTTAGAATATACGTAGCACATTATACACCAATTCGCTGCTTTCTACATGTGCATTTCAGTGACACTGATAACTTTCTTTGAATTGAGCAGTGATTCTCACCTTTGTTTTTTGTTTATTCTTCCATCATTAACATTAACATAATTCATTTCCCCCCATTTCTATCTAATTTTTCAAGTTACTGCTGTTAATTTTCTCTCACATGGACAGTTCCTTAAAAAGATCGTTATGCTCAAGGCTATCCTTTTTTTTTTTTTTTAAAAAAGGCTACCCTGTTTTTACAAGTTAGAATAATTTTATAAAAACTTCAGGGAACATTTTTTATTTAAGGCTTAAAGATTATCTCAAGATAATAGTTTTAGGGTTTCATCCAGATTTCATAATTCTATAAAGTCTGAAATCAGTAAGAATTTTAAATTCTGTTCTTTGTTTTGCTTTTTGGTCAGGATTCTTCAATGGAATTTTTGACCAAAATGTTTAGTAATGATATTGCAGATTGAGTTTTATTGGTCTTATGGCAAAGGAGGCAGTGTTCATGGTGGTATTCATCACATATTTCATACTCTCTTCATATTCCTGGCTCATCTTCTGTTCTCCAGGTGAATAGACAATAATTCTTGTGCCTTGGATGGCCACTTGTGAGATTTTTAAGGCCCCAGGCACCAAGTATTGAACTAGGAGATAGAAGCATTAAACATATTACTGGACCAATTAACGGGGATATCCTAGGAAATCATTACACTACATTTCTAAACTGAGAAACCAGTTACTGTGAGACTTTTGGCTGTATAAAACAGCCTCAGCAACTACTCTTTTTTGTTATTGTTGTTGTAAGTACGTCTGTCACAACTTTGGCAAAATCAGCTTTTTATAAACATAGTTTATTGGCAGCAGTTATAATAATTGGCCGTGCAGCTCTAGCCTTAATGCAATATTCCATTAGCATTAAAACCTCCCTTCCCTCATAACTACTAATAAACTTTGTTCTTTATATGTTTGTCTTATCTTTGTATAAAACTGACATCATATAATACAAATCTTTGTAATTGACTTATTTCACCCGAAATAATGCCATACACACTTTTTAAAAAAAATAGTGCATTTATTTATAGTTCATTGTTCTATGTATTTTGTGTGTTTTATATTATCTACTTGAAATAATATGTTGTTTCTTTCTTTCCCAAAAGTTGGAGAGAATTAATAGGGCCAGAGAACAAGGATGGAGAAATGTGTTAAGTGCTGGTGGAGGTGGTGAAGTAAAGGTGGGCATTTGACACCAGTTTGGTTCCACTATTACACCCTCAACCCCAGTTTGACATTCCATATACCTTGGTTTTGGTTCATAGTTAATTTGTATTTAAAATTATTCATTCTCATAATTTTTTAAACTTTTCCATGTATTTGATGCATAGCTTGAATTTTTTAATTGAGATTTTAATGAAAGTTTCTACAGAACTTGGATTTCCATTCATTCATTGTTGCACATTTTCCTCCCTGCTCACCCCCCCCGCCAGTTCCCTTTTCTCTTTGAAAAAAAACCCAAAATATTCTTTCATTGTTGTGCAGTCTCCCCACCTGAAATAGCTTGTATTCATAAGTAATATGTGACACTGACCTTGTTTACAAAACTTGATATGAATGAAAGTGATGATACCATATTCCTTTTAGTGCAGTCTTTTTAAAAACAAAGGCATTTTGCACAATGCTGTTTATATTTCTTCCATATAATCTTAAAAACGAGTTTAAGAAAAAATTATTATTTTTGGTATGTGTGCTGTCAAATCGGATCTGACGCGTACAGGAGGAGATTGTTCCTTCTTCTCCAGAAGAGCATCTGGTGGATTTGAACCGCGTACCTCTGGAATTACAGTGCAGCTTCCTGCCACTAGGCCACTGGATCTCCCCAAAATGAATTTTTAAGAAGATTCTTCTTTAGTTAATTTTGTTTTTGGTGACAGGATACAGAGTAAAGCCTGTTTCTTAGATTTAGTTTCTAGAAGAAATCATCAGTAACAGTGTTGACATTCTTTTCATTGTGTTAACTTGGTTACTTCTGTTCTAGTGTTTCACTTCTATTTACTCATTCCTGACCCCTATAATTCTATCTTGGCTTTTTTAATTTTTAAACAAAATTAATTTTAAATAGGAAAAGTTGTATTTTTATTAA